TGATCTTTTAAGCAAATCTTTAAATAGTGAGTCAGCAGAGTCTTGTTTTTCTACAAATACTAAGACACTACCTGTTGAAAGAAATAAGGGAGACACTTATTACTGCAGCTATAGACTATAGTCTTATTGTTTTTTTTTAAATATTGACCTCTACTAAAAGTGACKAGTGAATATAAACCTACCTTGTTCTTGGAATATACCCAATAATTCTAATAACTTAAGGAATTTATTCTCTTCTTCAATTATAACCTAAACAAAAACAGAAATTGGCTCATTAAGACAGATATACATGTTTTCTCCTTGCAACCATTTTATTGTTGGGGTTCCTTGCTATAGATCCTGTTACTTTAATGGCTATGGGAAGACTACATGTACCTGTATGAAAGCATGTCACATGAATGCTTACTAGTGTTGAAGAGCATTTCACAAGGATTGTGGATTGAAAACCCCAAACAAACCTAATTTTATTTACAGACCACWGTGGAAATTATTTGCATTCAGCTATTATTYAACATTCAAAAGCCAGTAGTGAATTCAAATAAGTATAATTACTTACCACATTTTGGTCGACATCTGAGCAGACAACACTTCTACCACCAACTTGAATTTCAACAGGTTTATCTAGAATTCTTCTGGCAAGAGCTTCCATTTGACGAGGGAATGTTGCCGAGAACATTACTGTCTGTCTGTCTGGTCTGATGCAGTCTATGATCCGCATAACCTATTCAAGTGAACAAGAATATTATTACTGGTAAAGAATTTCACAATGCTTTCTAAAAAACATTAAACTTTGCACAATATGTCCATGAAGGCAAAGAGAAAGTAAAAATGAAATTTCAAAAAGTTTTTAGCAGAATTCTTTTTTCAAATGTTCAAAGGAATAATGGTTTTGTAACAATAAAATTGCTGTATTTCAAAGAGGAATGTTTTATTTTGTGGATGGACTGTACATTGCAAACCTGGAAAATAGTTTAAGTACCTGTGGTTCAAAGCCCATGTCAAACATCCTGTCAGCTTCATCAAGCACCAAATATGTACATCTTCTACAGTTGGTAACACGACCTATTTGGACACAATCACTTTAACTGGTGATTCATTTGCACAAACTAGAACTCCAACAAAAATGACAAACAATTCAGCATTAAAAATCAAGGTTCATTTCATGTTTTAACCACAAAATTCCAGTATTTTTGAAGTGACTTTGAAGCAGCAAATGCTAATTTTTTAAGGACCATCTTTTAAGTTGCATTTGGTGTTTCCGGACATTAATTTTATGCTCTTGAAAATTTCAAACAAATTTAAAGCAACAGTCGATTGAATAAAATTCAAGTACTTTTTGACAGTTTTGATGACTTTCCTGATTTATGTAAACCTCACCATTGTTTGCTGTCAACATGTCAATCATCCTTCCTGGAGTACATACAATAATCTCTGCACCGCGTTTGAGTTCTGCAATCTAAAACAAAAAGCAATTACATGTACTGCCCAGTAAGACTATGGAATTTCTAAAAAGTTTAAACAAAATACTATCTTGTCCTTGGTGTGTTAATGTTAAAAATACTTTAAATATGGCTCACACTCATGCAATTTTACTTATTAGTTAAGTAGATTAAAGAATTAAAAAAACCTATCATCAAGATTGATAGCCAGTAAAAATTTCACTTTCATCACCTGCTCACTAATTCCTGTGCCACCATAGACACAAACTGTTCGTAAGTTTAATGCTTTACAAAACTTTTTACACTCTCGATGGATTTGGATAGCAAGCTCTCGTGTTGGAGTCATGACAATTCCTGGAAAAGAATGCAATTTTATAATCAGCAACTGCAAGTTACTATTTTATACATCAGTAAATCTAATACAATTTCTCAATTTGTTTTAATCAATTCGCTGAACTCTAGCTGCTATATTTTAGATGTTTTATTCCTCTTGACCAAAAAGTTATGCAACTCTCTCAAAAAGACCTCTAAACAATCATCATAAATCTGAAAATTCTGTGAATGTTTGCAATTCAGCTGGCTTGAACTCCAGATGATGGGAGTAATAACATCAAATGGAGCTTGCATATTTATGAATTTTTCAGTAATGCTGTCATCTCACCAATTGGGCCTTCATCTCGTTCTAATGGAGGTTGATCCTTGACATGTCTAAACATAGGAATCAGGAATGCCAATGTTTTACCACTTCCAGTCTTAGCAATACCTGCAGATACAATTTTATTGTGTGTTTTTCACTACTGTTCATTACATGTATTGACAATATAATCATTGTCTAGTGATGTATATAACAGTGCATTTCTTAAGTCTTTCAAATGAAATTCAAACAGTTTTTGCACTAATAGCTCTTATTTATTGACTATTTTAGAGAAGCAAAGTTGTAATAAGGTATTGGTTATTTTGTATTAGCCTTTTCTTGAAAACCTATGTGTTATATAAGAACCTTTGTGACTGTTTGCTTATTAATTATTTTGTTAAAGTTGCTTTTTGATTGCTTCAAAATTAAAGATTTTGAATTGTTGTAGTTTTTCCTATGAAAGACACAGAGGTGTTTGTTCATGAATTTACACAGATTATATAATATATGCAATTAAGTACATTATGCATGCATTGTCAATCACTGACCTATCATATCCCGTCCTGACATGATTGCAGGGATTGCTTGAGCTTGGATTGGTGTTGGTTTTTCGTAACTATTTCTGAAAATTAAAAAGCTTTAGCCTTATTTTCACTGCAAGAGAGAACTTCATAAGGATTAGTCACANTATAAATGCTTTACAGTATGGATCAAAGAGACTTAGAATGGCTGGTTTTAAATCTAAGTCATTCAACTCCTTTAAGTGACCATTCATTTCATCATCAGTAGGTGGCTTCAGTTGCATTTCCGTAGACTGTTTTGCGTGTGTTGCAATTTCGTACTCGTCCTCTACCACGCAAGCATCTATCTTGTGATCTAACTCTTCTTTCAATTTCTTTGCTGATTTGAAATTGATATCACGAACTCTCGCATAAGGAACCTCGTTCACGTAAGTAGGCAAAAGCCACGTGCATTTAACTTGCGTGCAARCAAGTTTTCMATTTATCCGTGTCCATGCTTCAATATAAAAAAGCACGCTTGCAACATGTGAACACGTTTCCGACAAACCTGCCTTGCAGTCTAAACAATGAGCAGAAAATGACTGTCCCTTCTTGGCTTGCTATCACCCAAATTGGAATCGGGGGATCGTTCATGCGCTGCGAATGTCGAACTTTAGCGATAACAACATACTTCTCTGCAATTATTTTCCCTTGCACGCTTGTAATGAAACCAGAAACCATCTGGTTGTATGCTTCTAGGCTTTTGAAGGACTTGAATTGCTCTTTTGTGTAATAGCTTGTGTCTAGGACCAAATACGATAAAAGATCCGTGGCTTCTATCGNGCTTGGATTGGTGTTGGTTTTTCGTAACTATTTCTGAAAATTAAAAAGCTTTAGCCTTATTTTCACTGCAAGAGAGAACTTCATAAGGATTAGTCACAAAATGTATTGTGCTATTCAGCAATTGTGCTGCAATATAATAACAATGATGATGATAATGAAGACATATGATGATGATGGTAATGATACAATAACTACACTTGATCCTCAACCTACTTTTTTAATACTTCTAAAATTTTTAAATTCACTCCAGTCTGYGCCCAAGTTTTGACAGGTTTGGGGCAGTTTTTCCCTCTGATTTGTATGTTTTCAAGACTTGATCTGAATTCCTCCAATTCTGTCAAAAACAACAAAGGCAATCAAATGTGAGGGTTTTGACAAATGTAGCCTCACTCATCATGCTGCTAAAGGATAATTTCCTTCGTTTAAGCAATCAAATGTAATTTAATCAATGAATGGTACATGCACACAAGCATATCAACATAAACTTTTTTAGCTGGACATGATCTATGAGTTCCATGAAGGATGCTAGGTCTTTTAAGCGATTAAAAATGCTTTTATTGTATATTTACCTTCTGTAGTCATCCTTGTAAGCTCAGGYACTTCAACATAAAAGTTTTTTCTAAATGTTGAATAATAAACTTTGTTGTGATCAACTGGTTGTAAATCCTGCCAATACAATGAAAAATAAAATGATAATTAGATTGTAGTCAATATTGGTGACTGATTAGAGTATGAAATACTASACATTAACCAGGATGACATCAGTTAAATAATTTTCAATATAGAAAAATACATGTAATAATAATATCAAAATAAATCACCTTTTTTTTCTTAGTTTTGTAGCCTGCATAGGTTGCTTCCAGATCTTCTTCCTCTTTCTCTTCTTCAGATGAGTACTGAAAGAAAATCATTAGCAGTGATATGTTAAATTCAAGATAACTTTGTGTGATAACTTATGGCCTTAGTCATGATAGTAAAAGTGCAAAATACAAATGCAAAAGACTGCATGTCTAATATGTTACCTCCATTGCATCTGGATTCACTTCCATCAATTCTCCTTTATTTCCTTGTGAAACCTTTCCCTGTATCAATAAACACAACAATATTATTAACAAAAAGATGAAGTGATAACTTGTAGACAATTTTCACAGCTTACCGCAGGTTTTTTCGATACAACRTGGGTAACAAAAGTTGCTTTTCCTTTACCAAGCTTTTTCTGTTCAAGGGAACCAACTTTCTTCACCTGTCAATCAAGATATACACATAAATAGTAGTTTATTATTGGGGTAAATCCTATTTTCATGAAATTCTGTTTGAAAGACTGTGCACAGCAACAGCATCCGGAAATAACAACAAACAACTTCAGAACTATATACTTACCTCTTTATTTACAGTTGCCATGAATGCATCAAGAGAATCAATGTCTTCTTCCTACAAATAAGCAATGAAAAATGATTAACATTACTTTAGCCTACTATTGTAGCAAAACATAATATATCTAGTGCTCAACATACCTCCTCTTCTTTCTTGCTGCCATTGGAAATATTTTCTATACAAAACAAAAAATGAATTGTACATATTTTGTAATACATGTATCAACAATTCCAAAGTAACTAAAATATATACCTTTTTGATTTTCATCTTTATTTTCCTACAGAAAAATGAGAAACATTTTGTGTAGCTCAGGCAGTTTAACCATTTAATTTTAACAGAATATACAGTCTAATAAAGTATACTTACCTCRTCTTCATCATCAATCACGTTATCTGCTTCATCATCTTCTTCATCGTCTTCTAAACTCCAAGCTTTCTTCTTTTTTATTTCTTCAACTCTTTTTTGAGCGTCTTGGAGGTCTTGTTCCTTTTTCTTCTTAGCTCTCCAAGCCTCTACCCTGTCAAAATAAGTCAAGTGACAAATCAACATCAAAGTTCTTGTAATATAATCATTACCATTACTCTAATTCTACAATAAACTTAACTTAGATGCAATACAATGAAAGTACCTTTCTCTTCTTTTCTGCATCTCAAGATCCAGTTGGTTTTGTTCTGAAATCTGGAAGGAATGATTCAGCAGTTAGTCAAACAATCAAGTCAGATGTACAARGATATAAAATGTAACTACAATAATGTATCATTATTTATACTTGAACTTGTTACAATGATTTTGGAAAATGTTTTGCATGGGTTGTTAATTGGCCATCCAACCCTTTCCTAAATATTTATATTTATAGATAACATTTATAGATAACATTAATGATCATGATATGGTAAATTACCTTGTCAACTGCATCAGATGACTCTTTGTCTCCCTAAAATGAATTGATAACTACTTAATAT